GAAACAAGTTTAAACTTGATTTATCTGACAGTTGAAGAATTTAAGCTTTGCAGATTATTAATATTAGTTTCAGATCTTTCAACTTAAACGTTCGTGCACGGTTCTCGCAATTTCAGTTGATAACAGAGTAGAAAAGTGCTGGACCTCACTTTGAAATAATTTTGATGATTATGTGCTGTCAAGAAGTTCTTTCTTAATAAGGACTACCAGTCTCCTAGTATTCCCAGCTTTTGTACTCTGTCCCAACCATTCGATGCGATTAATACATTCCTAATTATTTTCTTAATTTATTTTAACATTGTCATATGACCTATGTCCCTGTCCCTCATCCGTTCTTTCCGACGACACTTTCATTTCATATAATTTCGAAAATATTAAGGGTCCCAGAATGCAAAACACTGTACTCCCCATTTGTCTGCAAATTGTCTCTGGGTCCAGATATTTTTCCCGGACCTTTGTTCTCTGACATCTTGAAGATTAAGATGCTAAGTTTGTAAACAAACACAGCATTGGAAAAATTATATAGCGCACTTTCCTTATTTTAAAAAAGTAAAAGTATAGCATCACATTGCTCTCTGAGGTTATCCCCACCACCAATCTATTTGGAAGGCTTCAATCGAACTTCAGGAAACTTGGTATGATTATCATGCCACCCGAGGCCACACAAACGGCTTAATTCGTAAATCCCTCCCGTCAGCAATACTAATACTGCAGTCTCTCAAATTGCTGACGTGATAATCTTAATATAACTTGAATGCATATGCGGAATGCCTTTGTATGCAGAGAAAACCACTTATTAAACTTTAACATAAATAGGTATTGAAGCTGTACGGAATATACATACGAACTTCTGTTTGTAGAACTGGACGTCGCTGGTTGTTGATAAGCAGGGTAAAACTAATAATAATAAAAATGAATTTCTAGTCTGAATCTTATGTTACGATCAGTCTATCTTGGAACAAAGCACCATCTGGGACTTACGACCAGATTTTTATTACTGTCAGACAGTTGCGGGTTTGTTGATGTGGGGCGCTCTCTGACGAGGGGATGGTTCTGTCGTTTACAATTTCTGCTGGCGCTCTGCAGGGCAGTAATTATCGGGTCCAAGTCCCGTTGGACTCGCGACCATATTTTTCTGTCTCAGATTCGAGACTTCCCTTTTCTCCAAGTCAAAGTCAAAATCAAGGTCTAACTGCGATTAACGGTCAGTCAGTCAGTCAGTCAGTCCGTCTTGGTGTCGAGCCCCATCTAAGGCTCTTGACCAGATATTTATTACTGTTTGGTAGTTACGGTCAAGTGATTGTGGGGCGCCCTCTCTTATAAGAGGACGGATCTGTCTTTCCCCTTTTCTTCGCTATATCTTCCACGTATATAACCTCGAATCTGACCTTAGAAAACACGTCCGTTGCCTAATGACAGACGCCTGTTTTTGCCACTTATTGTAGTAGGCTTTACTTAGCAACGGTTGTTTACCAAGCCGTTAGTTAGCAGAGGATGGTTCCTAGCCTGTGATTGTCTAGCAGTTGAGTAAACTTGGACTGTTCCCAAACCTGAACCAATCAGCATGAAATTTGGCATGTATATCGTACCACACGAAGCCATCGAAATGGCTTACTTCATAAATCCCTCCAATCAGTAACACAAATGGTTCAGCCTCTTAACTCTTAATATTACTTGAATGTCTGAAGCTCTCGTCATGGAACTTGGTATATATGCGTTACCGACTGAGCCATCTGAAAGGCGTACTTCACAAGTCAGTCCCGTCAGTAATAAACAACACCGCAGCCTCTCAAATTGCATTGTTTTGTATTTATTACGTATACTAAAGTTTTTTTCTACTTATTATGTCATGTATTTGTACTTTTTTAAAAAGAAAACAGCCGGTTACTTCTTTCTAGGGGAAGCCGACATAGCGACCGGCTACGGGCTGGACGACTGAGGGGTCTAAGTTCGAGACCAGACCAGCACTGGGGCTCACCCAGCCTCCTACCCAATGGGTACCAGGGGATCTATCCCCGGAGGTAAAGCGACAGAAGGACGAAGGTAAGCACTCCACTCCAGTTAGTGCCGAGGTCAACAAAATGGGGATCTATTCATCCATTCCTCCATAAGCCTTCGTCGTATAGTATATAATTAGTTAAGCACAGGAACAATTTTACGGTTTTTTACTTCTTCGTAGAACTTCTTACGTTTATACAATTTCATGATAATAACAGGAATTAATAAATATTAACTGAATTGCACCATTAAATACCGAGTTCATTCTGCTCTGGATTTTTTTACTGAAAAGATTTTCAATATATTGATTTGGAAATTAATTCAACTGTCATTTACATACACGAAATTCGCTAGTCAGCAACTAGCTGTAGTCACTGGCTTGCAGGTCGTGATTACTCTACCTGAAGCTCTCTAAGGTTGTAAACATGTCGCAACCACGTGGGTGTCCCTGACCTTGCAGAAATACTAAGCTGGTATTTGTAAGCCTGACTGGTACAACTTCTGGTATGAAGAAATATAGCCTGTAGGTCACTGCCAGTAATGTTGCAGTCCTGTAGGTCACGTCATTCATGATAGGATTTTGAAACGAGTCAAATAAAGAGAAAGCTAACAAGTGAGTTTGAGGTCCTTACGGAGGTCATTGTCAAGTTTACGGTCTTATGAGGTGTGGTGCCTCTGTTGGTGTCTGGGTACCAGGAAGGGAATGGAGCAGGTAGCAAGAATAGCCCAGACTTCATGTTGATTTCTTGCTTGAGTCATTACTCAACCCTGAAGATGGAGGCGACATTTCCTTGGAAAAGTTGTTTGACTTTAAATGAATTACACAGCGTTACATCCCAGAAGATAGGACTCTTCATGTTCACTGCTGTGAGAACCTCAAACTCTATATGTTAGTTCTGGTTGTGTGGACCCAAGGGTCAGTCTGGACGCCGCGGAGAAGAAGAAATTATTGACTCTACCGGGACTTGAATTACGAACTCGGTAGTTCAGCCCGTAGCTAATCACTATGTTACGCGATATTCGATAATATCTAAAAACACAATAAATATAGTGACTCGCAAAATTAAGATTTATTAAACTAATCTTATTTTCGTTTAGGTAATTGCTTGATTAAGGATGCAGTACGGACAAAAACGGTGATGAAGCAATTCTCATGGCACTTGTGATTTTGAGTTAGGCCTAATTAGTAATAACCTTGCAATTACGAACACATTGTAGGCTCATTACGATTATTAAATCAAGGAGGATGAAATTATTCTTTGGAGAGGAATCTTGGAAAAATGTGAGAAATACACATAGGAATTTGTTCGAAAAGACCGGGAATCTCTTGACTAACCGTGTGTGAATCAGCTACTCAGAGAAGACAGTGGAGTCGGTATAATCAATTAAAAGTACCACATATGAGTCAGAAGCCTGCTGCTGCTGCCATCTATGTTTCCGGGTAAGCCTCTACTTTCATTTAGAGGAATGCCCGGCAGGAGGGTTTTCACGTAACCGAACTGGCCCAATTAGTCACTGTATCGTACCATTTCATACAGTTTACACGCATTCCTCTGTTGCAGCAATCTGCATTTCCTGGCCCTTACATGCTGCTCTACAAATGCAACTTACTGCACATGACAGAAACCGCACGCTAATTACCGAGTACCGGCCTTTATTACGGCTTCAAAGCCACTTTCTAATAAAATTAAATGTGCCTGAAAACAATTATAAAAGCTATACTCTTTTGCCATTAACATTATTCAGGTCAAAAGCCAGGGTAGCTCTGTCGGTTTGGCAACTAGGATAAGTGGCGGATTCCTGGTGGAGGTAAGAGATTTTATATTCCTCGGCGTCCATGTCAGCTCTGGGGAACACCCAACCTCTTATCTTTCTCTTACCTTTGTAACCGTACATTCTGACTGGAGGAGTGTTGTGTGAAAATTAAATTTTATTAAATGACCATTAAGTGCAACGGTTGTAGAGTGTGTCTGTGTGAAATTGTAGTGAAGGGTTCCTCCTGCCCTGTCCGAGCCAGACCCTTATAAGACCCTGGGATAGGAACCCAGCTCTACTGATTAAAGTAAAGAACCCAAAGAAGTGAGCGGTGGTGGAGTGGCGCACAACGAAAAGGGCACAAAGGAAGTGAGCGGTTACACCTTGGATTATTTCTCTGGGGTTAAAACGGCAGAGACATGAAACTGACCATGAATCTCAATTTAATGCCTAGATCAAAAAAGCCAGAAGTATATTTGCACTACCCTGTACTTCTTCATGGCATGGTGCTTAATTAACTAAGCATAAGGGCAACTTTTTCTCTTACGCTCTTCGGTTATAAAGAAATTTACGTCGTAAATTTATCAATCGTGTTACATTCGGCGGAGAGATTCATTACTATTTTCAACTGATTAAATATAGTGGGGTGTATTTGCTCAAGGAAAGACCTGAGGAAGAGAAACAGCAGGTGTTTGTAATGGCTGGTACAAACGCAACAGAGAAATGCGTCACGTACGCTGCGAAATCAAGCAACAATATGAGGGATGTTTCAAGCAGCATTCTCTGTGTGACCGCATCGCGCTTGTTGCCACGCAACTGTGCGGTAAACACATCTCTGCAGCAATGAATCAACACGGAACAATAAAGGAAGCCTTCGCAGTTTGCAAGTCGGCAGAATAGTAGCAAGAAAGGAATTAGGATGTGCAAAGAAGACTTTATGTGTGAGGCTGGTATAACTACCGTGGTGAAATCCGGTTCCAGGATACGACTAGTGAAGACAGAGAACCCTAGTGTGTGAGTAACGGTGAACTGTGAAGTGGGTAGATGAGCGATAGCTCTGTATTGCCTGTAGTCCCGAGTTGTGCTAATGAGGTGTCAATAAATCCAATCATCCAGCCCCAAACCCGTCTGATAGTCCCAAATCTAAGACGTAACATATAATTAACTTTTAATCATTCAGTGTAATTGTTATAATGTTATTCTTGTTAAAATTACGTTTCAATAATATGTTATATAATAAATTTATTTCCAGTTTACACTAATTAAAATTTAAATGCACTTAACAAGCCATAATAAAACTATCACACATAATTGTATAAAATTAGTTTTTCTTGTTGTTTAGAAACTAATGGATCATCAGGTGTAGTACACAAATTAGGGAAAATATAAACATATATACCTATATAGCCGAGAACAAATATATAATGTAATACATAGATAGTGCTTTCAAAGTCAAACATAATAAGTTAGTACGTCAGCCCTGAATACAAAACACGTTCTACTACATCAGTTAGTCTTCAAGGGCTCATATTTTTCTTGCTTTTTAAACCACAGTCTTTGTCTTAGAAGAAACATAATACACAAAAACCAAAAATATTATTCCATTCCCCCCCCCCCTCTTCCTGAAAGAGTAACTAACCTAAGACATAAAATTATAACTTAGCTTAAAATATTCCAGAAGGCTATGCACAAAAATTAATATATATTAAAAGAGTGTTTACCAAGTTATGTATAAACATATTTGAACTAACTTCTAACATACTAAATGGCATCTTTATCTTCTGGAAACTGTACTACTGGAACCGTTTGAAGATCCGCCTCTAGCTGTGAGGCAGAAGTTGAGGTGTCGGCAAGACGCAGCTCCAGCGCGCCGTGGGGAACATATCCGGCAGCGTCTGGGAAGCTGGATTGGATGTCGAAGGCCAATTGCATGGTCTCTAGTCGCCGGATCTAACTCGGATGCATTTCTTCCTTTTGGAGCACCTGAAGAAGCAGGTTTCTTCATTCCCTATTGAGGATCACGTGACAGTATTCCAAGCAGCTTTGAAAACGGTCGATGCCAATATGCTAAGGTGAGCGACACACTGCAATCTGCCTTGAAATAGATATAAGCCGCTTCTAACACCTATTGCAACTACGAGGCTTCCATGGTTTGATCTCTTGATAGCTTGCATCTTGAAAATTAAACGTCACAGAACAAATGTTGTACACTGTTTCAGAATAGTACTTTTGGCAGGGAATCATATTATAGACAGCCTGTCGGCGAATTTCTTTTCGCTTTGTGTACTGAGCTGAAAATTCTTGATTTTCCTTAAGTCGATGTCTTACAAATCTAATTTACATTATTTAGGAGCTTCCAAAAGGCACAAGCGGCATTTTAAACGAGTCATTAAACCTTTTTCGTTTCAAATTATTTTCTTCAAAATTATATATTATTAACTACTCTCTTTATATTTGGCATCATGACCCGAATGTTTCACGAACTACCAATATAACGGTAAATGCGAATAGTTCCGTCAAGCTTCACTTTAATATTGTAATTTCCCTCTGGCCTCTTCTTGGAATCCTGTGCGTGGTCACCTTCCAGTCTGTGTTTCTTGCCCTCAACTGGTAATTTAGACTTTATTTTCGGCTTCTTGTCTCCTGATTTTTCTTCCGTATTCGTCGTATTTGCCTGTGCTATTTCCATATTTTCTCCAACATCGTTTTCTACAGTAGTATCTACACACTTCTCCTGTACCTCAAAGGGTTTCCTTTCCGTTCCAACTTCCCTCAAGCTTCTCTCTTTGTCTTTACCCGTCTTCTCCATGCCTTGCATTCTCTCGCTTTTCTTTGCCTCCATATGCCCCATTCCTGTAGCTTTTTGTGTCTCGATATCTATAGGAAACAGTTTTTCTTTCATTTTATCTTCTTCCTTCTGATTAACGTTGATCTTCCGCCCTACTTCTCTCGTTTCTTCCGCATCTGGCTCTCCAACATCGGTATTCACTTCCTCCACCTTCCCGTCATTTTGGTTGGAAGGCTTGACCGCCTGGCCAAGATACTTCACGCCCTCATCAGTGGAGGAGCCTAATTGGTCATTTCTTGCGGAATAAAGTGCCATGTACTGGCCTACCAGATGCGTGTCCATGGCGTCAGGAACATGTCCACCTGACAGCATGAGTTCCATTGTCGTCTCAGTTATCAGTTCTTTTTCTTTCAAATGCATTTCGCCTGTTTCTATCTCCACGTACCTTGTCTCTTCCAGTCCAAACTCTGATGCTTCCAAAATGCTTTCACCTTTCCCTTCTCTCTCCTCGTATTTAAACTTCTCAATTTCTCCGTCTTTCTTTGCCTCTCCCATCTCTCTTCTTTCATCTATCTTTTCCATTTCTTGCACACTCTCCTGTATTCTCATTTCTTTTATGTCCACGTGCACCATTTCTGTCTTTCCTTGTAAGCCGATTTCTCTAGACCCCCACATTGCTTTCACTTTCTCTTCTCCTGCCTTATCTCTTACTTCGGCATACCGTTCATCTTCTCTTTTGTTACCCTCCTCCCGAGTTTCTACGTCACTATTCTCTGAATATTCAAAGCGCAAATGGACAGATATTTCACATTCGAATACAGCCTCGGCGTGGTCCTGTAGCTCCGTATTGCTGTGTGAGTGGTCGTCATTCGGTCTGTATTTCGTCCTATCTTCCTCAACATCCAGTTTGTCTTCTACGTACTCTTCTCTCGTATATTCTTCCTCATACGTCATCTCTTCCTCCCGTACTTCCACGACTGTTACAAATTCTCTCTTTTCCTCCCCATTTTCATATTCGTTTTCTATATCTGTCATTGCCTCTCTGATCCCTCTCCTTCCATCCGCATACTCTGCACCCATCTGATCCTTCTTTTCGTGTCCCTCCTCTTCCATTCTCTTTAATTCAACCATCGTCTCATATCCTGTCCATCTGTTTTCTCTTAACTCGTCCTCTCCAACCTTCCTTTTTTCTTTCAACTCCACTTCTTCATTCTGCCTTCCCACACCGGCGTACTCTACCACCTCTATCTCTTCTTGCTCGAGGCCCTCCGCGTTGAGAGCAGTCTGCTTCATGTGCCACTCGTCATACTCGTAACGACGAATTCCGTCAGGATCGAGTACCACGTAATGGCCGTCCTCATGCTTCCCCGTTACGACGTGAGAGGTCTCCCCTGGCAGTCCCGGTACGAACGTGTAAGTTTCGTGATCCTAAGAATGAGGAAGACATTTATTTTTAAATTAAGTATAAAAGAGAATTAATTAAATACTTTTCCTGGGGAATAAAGCGTGGCCGGCGCGTAAGGCTGACAACCTTACCGCCATCTGCGAGCCGATTGTCTAGATAGTGTGGGAGCCTCAACGTCTCACAACCGTATGGGCCTTCATGGCCTAGTACAGGAATAGCTTTACTTTTTTATTTTTAGAAAAGAAGATACTTTATATTGTCAACAGCACACTTTACTGGTTTATATTGAAATGTATTTTCTACATCAATTATATTAACATATTATAAGAATGTACCATATTCAAGTGAACTATTTGCTTAATTACGTGATGGTAGACGTTTAAATGCGCTTAGGATAATACGACGGCTATTACACTTGGATCTGTACAGAACGTTAATTCCATGTAATAGAGGAATGTCGGGTTTGAGGCTCCCACACTTCTGTCTATGAAGAGAGCAAACATGTTACTTGTGCCGCCGTATAGTCTGATATAAGACCACTTATATTTCGAAAGAACGTGTTGCCTCCATATTTAGGATCCTTTGCTGTCTACTTCTTGTTGGTTTTTTGATCAGTTTACTTTCCCAACTTGAAGATGGAAGTAAGAATTTCCTTCGAAACATCTATGGGCTTATATTGAACTGCAAGGTGTTGAAACCCGAACGACCTTACACCAAACATAGTAGTGCTTAATCCCATCATTGCATACAGCATTTGTAACTTACCAAATTTTCCTCATGTTCGGTTTTATCGTCTACGCGCCAATAGACGTCAGGCATCGCAGTCATAAACAGCATGACGAGGATATAAAGAACCTAAACAGAAGTGGAAAATTAGGCGAAACCCATAGAACTCTTAAATCAGTAAGTCAGATAATGTAACTAATTTGTCGTTAAAATGTTAATTTCTTGCCGAAATTTATTAAGTTTAGGGACTTGTATTATTGCTCATCTTTTATTTATAACTATATTAAAATATATGCTGTAAACGATATGTTTACCTATAATTTCACACAGTTACAAAAATGATCTCTTAACCAGAAGATTTTTCCCCTTTTTGCACTACAGCTCCAAGGTGGGCCTTGGCCTACCTCCATGAAAATCACCGTTTCACTTCGGTTTACTAGACCTTAGACATTCGGTAGGAATCCTCGGGCGGCTGATCAGCTCTTTGCAAGGTCGAGCGCACGCACACGCACACACGCACACAAACACTGAACATACATGCCCTGAGTGGAATTCGAACCCACGATCCCGGCTTCCGAGGGAGCTAATGCACTGCATGCCTTAGACCGCGGGGCTACCGTGACCGGCCTTCTGAAGAATGTACAAATTTATATTACTAGATAAGAAATGTTGAGGATAAACCTCGTACTGAGAGAATTGAGCTGTGTGCGCACTGGAGTAAATTGTGTAATGGGGAAATTTGTGATTGCCTCTCCTTTTAACGTTTAACAAAGGAGTTGAAGGACTGTACGTAATTCAATAGATGACGTGGGGGTATAAAAAGGCTTATACAAATTTCAGTCTGAATACTACTTCACGCGGAATATATGAAAGACTAACACAGAAAACAGAGGATCGTCTTAAGAGTAAACATTAAGAAATAAAAACACTTAAAATGATTTTGGTTTCAAAATATTTCGTAATGAGAAAACTTGAAAAACAAACACAATGATTAACTTCCTTTTACATTAGAAATTGAACTGAATATTGTCTTCACGTATATGAGTAGATCTCGTAATTCTGCGAAATTCAACGCAGAATGAATTTACTTTGATTTACAGTTTAAAGAAGGTTATTTGTGATACTGGGCATATCAAATTATGCGATGTCTTGGAAAATTTCCAGAAAAAGATTATAAATATCGCAAATCATTAATGAAGATAAAGTATCAATTTCTGTATTTTATTTATATGGAAATATTCAGTTTCTTAAGTTTCCAGTAAAATGTGTTTTTTCGACAAATTCGGATGTTAAAATTGTGAAATAACAAATAATCTAAAGTTCCAGATTATTTGAATTTCTTTCTTTAAGAAATTTAAGTTATCAAATTAAACATTATCACCTACTTTAAGAAGGACCATTGCACTGTTATTGAAGAACTTCTTGGAAAGAAACTCTGCGACTTGTGATTGATGCGTCTTATCTGGACGCACTGTCTTACATCGTGACCGATCGTGACGATCGTGACTGAATGGTCGGATGTCAAAAAGTTTACACTGTGAAGATATGTAGTTCCTACGATATTAAGTTTACTTTCATGTTTCTATTATCTGACTCCATGGAGTTCAGAAATAAATAGTCGTTCCTCTGATTAAAATATCCCTGCCGTCTATGGAAATAGAAGTTTCATTACCATGTGTACAAGAGTCCTATTCTGAGACAGTTATATCCAGCCAACAGCTTCATGCCCTATTTATTTAAAATATATTTTAATATTATTGATCTCATTAAATTATTCGACATTTTCTTCCATGAAGAATAGTCTTAAATATGAGATATCTGCTCTGCTCCGAGCATAGAAGGACACATCATCATAATCCGCAGAATCAAAGCATATAACTGAGCCTGGCTGTGATTCAGATATATTCCATTATTTGCATTGTTGTCCAGGATGCCACAATTCAATTCTAACCCCATTTTATTACAAGCTAATACCGGAATGTTTTCATCCACCCATATTTATAAGCATAAAATTAAACCGAGTTGTTCATTTTAAACTTCTCTACTGGTATTTCTTTAGTAGTGGGTACGAACATTTTATAAATATCCTCTATTGTAGGACAAATTGTCAATTTTGAAATTCTTGTCTCGTGTTCGGGACGACAAGTATACGTACATCGGCTCAAAGACCAGCTTTCCTCACTGACTCTTCGTATCTTTCTTCAGTATCTCCTGGAAAATTCTGGGATAATACCGTGAAGCAGACCAAAAAGTTTCTTTCGTACTTTTCATCTAACAAATATCTCTTTAAAATAAGACTGATTACATATAGTACATAAAAATGTTAAAGGAATCAAAAGTTAATAATTACAAATTTTTGGTGATACAACGGATAATTAATGAACATTTACGTGACAAACTGAATGTTACCGGCATATTAACAGACCTTAATATCCACAAATATTCAACGTCATAATATTGTCAGACACAAGATAGGGCCTTAAATTTGTCTTACATCACAAAGCACGTTTCAGGTTTAGTGCCAGAATACTTCTCCAATGCATTCCAATAAACAGACCATCTTAGGTCTTTATTTCATTATCCTAACATTTCAACTTGAATCACTACAAAAAAATGTATATTAATATCTCTAACATTATTTCCTATTAATTTTTTACAAATAACTTAATCTTGTCTTCCTTTATCAGTGTATTCTGGAACTGTATAAAATGCCGTTAGTAATAAGACAACTCAGAGACTTACTTTCCTGAAACATGTGAGGATGTGGCTATCTTTCCTTTTATTATGTTTGCTTTTACTATCGATAGTTTTGGCTTGTTCTTTCTCTCCGAATCTGACTTTCAGGCTGCCCTTTATACCCGTTCATATCGTTGACATACACAAATTGCAGCAGGTCTGTACACGGCGATCTCAGCAGGTCTGTACATGGCGATCTCAGCATCAAAGTGTATTTTCTTTTTCAAGAATATTTTATTTGTTCCTTTATGTAATTGGTGCTGATTATACAGTTCAATTAAAAAATTCTTTAACATTATATGATCTTTCAGTAAAATTAATTAATTTTCTTTGATTCTGCTAAAGATTTAAGCATGAATGTTATAAGGATGTGTGGGTGTATACTTAAGTATGTGATTTTCGTTTAATATAGGTTAACATAAGCCGACGGAAGCATGTCCCTGTCTTCAGAATAACAACAGGAGAAGAATACTTCCTCACTGGAACACCTTTTGAATCTGATGAAGATCAAATCCCAAATTCCTATTGATATATAAACCGATTCTCTTCTTTTGTTTCGGAGCAACCAAAGTAAGTAATATATTTTTTTTTTTTAATCTTGAGCCTCATTTAACACCTGTGAATTTTCAGAACTAAAGACTCTTACGGCATGTACTGTCTTCGCTCACTTGGAAACCGGGATCGTGGGTTCGAATCCAACTCAGGGCATGGGTGTTTAGTTTGTGTGTGTGCGTTTTTCTGTGTTTGTGTACAGGTAGAGGCCTTGCGACGAGCTGATCACCCACCCAAGGAGTCCTGCCGAATGTGTAAGATCTAGAAAAACCGAAGTGAACAGAGACGTTCATGGAGGTAGGCCTAGGCCCACTGTGCCTGTAGTGCCAAGGGGGAAAAAAAACTCTTACTCGAGGAATTTTTTATTACTTCATTTGTGTGTGCATGTGGAGAGAGATTTCCTATGCTGCAATTAAGTGGATGAAAAGAGATGCAATGAGTAATGGTCACTACTTAGCAGTTGCCAGTAGCGGGAGAAAGTGCAGACTTCCAGTATATCTTATATTTGCTTTGCAATCTTTGGCATTAATTAAATTGGCTTCCCAAGTTTCATCAAAAATTGAAACGCCTCATGAAATGTGTAGTATGTAGAGTCTGATTCGTGTAATTTTTTCTACATGTGCACAATTTACGTTTCTTCAAACTAATAATTTAATTTGTGCTATGTGATTTTACCCTTCAGACTGAGTATTGAACACAAATATGACGCCCTTTCTCTGTAAAATTCATTGTTGCGAAATCCAAAAAAAAAAAAGTTAAAACAATATGGTCAAATTCAAGACAAATCCAGCACGATTTCCTAAGGAAAACTAAGGCTCAAATGGTGAAATGATTTTGTGTGTTTTAAACGTATTATGGTAGTCAGTATAGCGACTAGTTACAGGCTGGAAGACGAGGGGTCGGAGTTTGCACCCCCGTTGGGTTAAGAATTTTCTCTTCTCCGGGTCGTCCAGACCGACTCTGGGTCTACCCAACCTCCTATCCAATGGGTACCTGAGGCTCTTTCTAAGGGGGTGTAGCGGCTGGGGCGTGAAGCTGACCACTCACTTCCAGCTAGTACTGAGGTCAAGAAAAATGTTGATCTATCCATCCACTCCTTCACACGCCTTCATGGCGTAGTGCTTAACTAGTTCAGCAAACGGACAACTTCACCGTTACCTTGCCTTATCTTGTTTCATCTACGCACTCCTAAATTTCCCTGCTACAATTAAAATGAGGGACTGAAATGAACATTTCATAATTTTACGTCAAAAATTGTGTTTGGAGCATGAAGCCCTGCAGTGAAATAAATTGAGCAGCTCTGGATTAACAAAGATCATTTTGTAAGCTCCGAATTACCTAGCTTAGTTTACATGCATGTAGTTCCTATGTAACTTAAACATCAGTTCAACAGGGCTAGGAAATTGAAAGGCCCACTATGCAACCATAACTACTTCGTCATAAGTGATCACGACCTGTCATTTCCCAAGCAATATATCTGTATTGGCCGGGCACGGTAGCCGAGGCATGCGCTGTCTTCGCTCGCTCGGAAGCCGGGATCGTGGGTTCGAATCCCACTCAAGGCATGTATGTTTAGTGTTTGTGTGTTTTTTCCTTGTTTGGGTACAGGTAGAGAGGCCTTGCGGCGAGCTGATCACCCGCCCAAGGAGACCTGCCGAATATCTAAGATCTAGTAAACCGAAGTGAAATAGCGAATTTCATCGAGGTAGGCCAAGGCACAAATTGGGGCTGTAGCGCCAAAGGGGGAAAAAATATCTATATTGAGAACATACTACATATCAGTGTAATATCAGCATAAGTGCACGTGGTTGTGTAGGAGTTTTTGTTCGACGTCGCTGCCTCAAGCCAGTTTTGCCTGTACTATACATGCAACGTGTTCTCCCTGGTTATGTCAATTGCTTATTGCTCTATACGTCTGGTTTGCTTAATCACTCTAAAGTACATAAAAGAAGGATATACACAATAATAAGAAAGGCCTTAATTTAATTCTGTTTATATATGCGACTGTGACTTTACCTTTTAGACGATAACCAAAATTACGATCACGATATTGTCACGTGTATGAATGTGACTATAGAAGGGGTTCGTGTTGGTAATTGCATTTATTGAACACTTACAGGAAATAAATAAAATCAACTGTAGCGCTATCGCTAATTCACACGCTCTGAAATTCACTACTGTATGTACTAGATCTTCTCAGTCTGCTGTGCCCTCATCGGCTGTCGCTTGGTAACGGCCTCCAATGCCGTAGCTTCCTCAGCTCCCGTGTTCACGTCCTTATTTGCCGGCCACTGTCTGCCAGCTAACTAAATTCTAGGCTTGTACTGTTTAAAACACCTCGGAACGGATCGCATATAAACATTGTTTCCAACATTTCTATTGTTGCGTCACTCAGCTGTCGCACGGACTGCGTCGAGAAGGCCGCTTCTCAGTCCATTGGTGCGTTTTATGAATCTGTTGCCTAGCAATTGGCGTTTTTATAGAGTCATTACTTAGCAACGCATCTACATGCTACAATATTTTGTTTACTTGTTTATTAACTTGCCTATTTATTGACGTATGTTTATCTGTTTAATTGCGTTTAATTTATTTCTACTAACTGTCAAGTAATATTATTTGTTTTAATACAGAATTATAAGTTAGTTTGTTATTTTCTATGGACATGTAATTTGGTCTCTTGCTCTAAATGAAGTAAATAGATCGTGAGTATAGCACATGAGAGCGGGAGGGAGCGGGAAGGAGCGGGAGGATGGGAAAAACTGCATGACTAGGAGATCTGTGTTATTATTACTCACGAGATATTGTTATGGTGTTGAATTCAAGAAGTGCGAGTTGAGCTGGGCATGTAGCTCGTATGGAAGACAAATTTATACAGCATCGGAAAATCTGAATGAAAGAGACCACTGTGAACATCAGGAGTAAGTGGAAGGACAGAGAAAAGGTATTCAAATTGATTTTATTGCTGTAGAGTACACTGTCACGATTTATGTGTGTGTGACTATAGACGGGGTGTGGATTCGTTAATTGATTTATTGACCACTTGTATAGACCACTCGAAACTACACTTTACAGATCACTGGCACACGCAGACTAGTGTCCTCAGACTATTACAGTCTCCACTAGCCGTTTCCTGGCAAAGGTTTAAGCCGAGGGAGATTTTTCAGCTTCCCGCGCTCGTATCCTCTTGTCAGCTGACAGCTCAACTAACTGGTTCTCAGGCTGGCGGTCATTTCACACGAACCTCCTAGTCTTCTCCTCACAGGTTGACTTTCAGCTGACAACTAACTCTCTCACTCACCAACCAGCTACTCTATGTTACTTCACTCAACTGAACTACACTGCCTCTCTGGGGTCCTTGCTATAGCTATATCCTCTGGGTGGACATAACAGAAAATACAGTCTCCAACAATTGTTCTATTGTTGTCATGGACTTTTACCTAGCGATAGACTAGATATCGTTTCTGCGGGAACGTGTTTACCGACCGTTACCAAGCAACGCATGTTATTTCAAGTGATAGTTTCATAGCAACGGTATTACATGCTGCAGTATGTACGTTGATTGGATATATCTAACTCTGGAATGGATCCGATGAAAGGATCAGGTGAACATGGTAATGAATCATCTCGTTCCATAAAATGTAGGCAATTTCTTTACCAACTGAACACCTGTTGGCTACTCAAGAAGGGCTCTGTTTCGTGGACTTAGTTTGGATATTCATAAGAATAAGTTTTAATATTAAAGCAGTTTATTCAAAACAACACCAATACACTCTTTAGATACTGTGTAAATTTAATACAGTTATAGGAATCCAAAACAAAAATGAGGCGATAGCTGTCTCCAGTGCACATATTGTCAGGACGTTTACACTGTACCAAAAGTGGAGAGCAACTGAAGAGTATTTGCATATGGGCCTAACACGAATCCTAGACATCTTGCAAATTTGTAGTGTAAACAATCAAATCAGTTTTGAGCTATTCAAATTATATTACAAGTTCAAACTATAAATACAGAAAATAAAAAATGAAGACGAAATGAAATTAACATTAAGATACGACTGAAAACTTCAATAAGGTTTCTTAAGATAGTAATAAATTTCGTCTTTTCTAACAAAAATTGAAAGTGTATAGTCTAGCAAACGGTAATAAAAGACTTAACAATTTTTCTTGGCCTCATGAATAAATAATAATAATAAAAGATAAAATGACGCATCTCGATGTATAAATACTATAATGAGGTATGAGTTATGAACTTGACACTGACGAGTGATGATGATGATGATGATGATGAAGGGTCATGTAAAGTGCTTGAGTTCAGTGGTGTTTGGTGTTACTGTAGCTGGAAGCTGTGTAGCTAGGTGCAGAGATCTCTGCAGCTTCTTGGTGAGCAATCTCAATACCTTTCACCTCTTCATGATGAACAGGATGGTTGGCATGTCCGGACCTCACCACCTGCGCGTGGAACCCGGTGTGTTTGTCAGCGGTGTAGTGTACTGTACGGATGGTGCCATCTGGCTCCACCAACTTGTAGTAACCTTCGACCTTGTCGCCGTCACGTTTCTCAGCCTGCTCCTTGTTGTCATGAGTGTGTTCATCCTTCACACCGTACTTGAACTCGTATTTGGGGTGGGCCTGTGAAGAAAGGCGTTAGTAGCCGCATGTCAGGTAACAAATATTGTATTACTTCATGCTGATAACATTAATCTAACGTGGTTTGGTAGATACTGTCAGTAGGTTCTTCGAAATATTGGAATAAACATACTTCAAAATCATTTCAAATTCATCACCGTTGTCATAGCAACATTAGACGTCATATCATATATAGATATTAAGAGAAATTCACAATTATTTATATATAGGCCTGTGTAGAGGGCCGCGCCGTGACTCAGGCGGTTAGTCGCTGGCTTCCCACAGCGACGATCGGGTTCGAGCATAGGTTAGATCATATAGGTTTTATGGTGGACAAAGTGGCACTATGGCAGGTTTTTTCCGAGCACTTTGGTTTCCCCTGCTAATTTTCATTCCACCGGCTGCTCCACACTCATCATCTATTATCTGGGGCTGGTACAATAGACCAGTAGTGGCCACGGTACCAAGTGGACTCAATCTCACCCCATTCCAAGAAACTAAAGAAATAGGCTTGTGTAATTATCTTAAGGTGAAATTAATTGCGTTGAAGAATACTAGGTATCGGAATAAAATAAAATCATACAATTTCGAGATTATAGAGAAGCTTTATGAGAAATGCTCCCCATAACATATGCTTACGGTTATATTTTAGTGTTAAACGCAAAATGTTTATATTCATTGCATTCAGTAGAGTTTGGTGGCAACGAATGCCAATTTTTAAAATATAAAGCAAACAAATATTTGACTTACGTAGTGGTGTTCCTCCACGTGATGTTCCACAGGAGGGATATGATGCTCCTGTGCCAGAGTGGCTACGGCCAGCATTCCGAAAACAGCAACAAGCTGCTCAGAAATGAAACACGATTTCATTCATCAGACTCAATATGGACTCAGCTTTACAACTGAGGAAAGATTTTGTGATGTGTATACCCATTGTTAGCAACGACTCGTTAAACAGATTCCCGCGAAGCGTAAGCGTGCAACAGAAAGACGTCCACTGTTAGGTAACGGAGAAGTAAGCATGCCGCATTAACATTAAAGGCTGCGCTTTCTGCGTGATCCATGCAAAGCAGTTTTAAAAAACCATAAATTGGAGAGTCGAGGTTTGGAACGCCAGCTTGGGAGTAGAGGAATTGAATTTAGTCGAGTCTTGGGAATTTGCAGTTGCAGAATAATGGCAAGAAAGGAATGAAGTGATGCAAAGAAGACTTAATGTAGGATTTTAAGTGACAGTGAGGCCGTTGTGAAATCCGTACCCAGGATACGACTAGTAAAGTCTGAGAACACTAATGCGTATGTAACAGTGAACTGTAAATTGAGTGGATCCGCAGTAGCGCCGTAATTGCCTGTAGTCCCGAATTGTGTGAGTGCATGAGGTGCAATATATATATAATGTGTGTGTATATATATTAATGACATCTTAAACATTTTCAAGAAAATTTTAATGTGTTAAGTATGGACTATTGTTATCTAAATCTATATTGAGATTGCTGAATTATACACTTAGAAAACCTGAAAATGAGACTTCACTGCAACAGGATGCTGAAATATAAAATTAGCACTTACTTTGATCAGAGCCATTGTCTCCCTTGTGCACCAGTGGCGAGGAGTTTCTATTATATGTACTGGTGAATTAGCAGTGAATGACAAAACCAACCTTCAGTGTTCTTTATATATAGTAGTTAAAAATAGGAAAGTCTTGGACTTAAAAATGCATGTGTTCAACATGGGAATTTGTCCCCTCGCCAACAGAGTCAATCACTTTCTCACCTCTTATCCGCCTTTCATTATGCCTGTCATAATTTTTGTATCAAATATCCCAACATCGTCATAACTACAACATTCTAATCTTTCCTTTTTACAAAAACAAAAAACATAAGATAGAGTGATATATTCATATTGTGGACAGCATTGTTATACTACTACTACTACTGCTGCTGTTGGTGGTGGGGTAGTAGTAGTAGTAGTAGAGTACTAATCATTTTACTGTGCACTACATTTGAAAAAATAATCCGAAGTTTTTGTCCGTTCGAGTCTACAAATTGTCAGAATTGTTTAACACGCATAAATATTATTTCGTTTCTTTTTTTCATAAGACTTTCATAGAGTTAGCTGAAATATTTCCAAAATAAATGCTGAAAAAATTATCAAAGAGGACTTCTTTAAATTTATTTCAACTACTCTTCGCTCTAGAAAGTTTCACAGCAAAAAAAAAAATCGACATAACGTACAAAGACAGACGTTCCTCAATGGTCAAAATATGCCTTTGAGTTTTGTGTCTTTCTACCTAGATTTTTATTTGAGCAATTTAGATGATAACTTTGTATGTAGCAGTCTCCGAGATTCGATAATTTATGACTTGAAACAATTACGTGGGAAACATTTATGATGATATGGGCTGGGCTCAAATTACTCAGAATGGCAGACTTTTGCGGGCAGGAAATGGATATTTAGGGAAATTCTTTAACTTAACTTCTAAACTTTAAACCTTTCAAGATAGATTCTGTACCATGGGGGTGAGTGTTTCTTATTTTTCGTATAATTTGTTATCCACTATTTCTGAAATCGCTTCTAATGAGAGCAGTAAACTTGTATTCTGTTACTAAATACAATATTTGACAATTTTCAATCTTATTTCCCCAGACGGACAAAGGGAAAACATAAAACCACAAATCAGAATGTTATTCCTAAGTTCAAGGTGCCAATTCAGACCACGTCATTCCTTCCCGCTATAAAACTTCTGTTGCATAATTCCAATTTTACGCCACTATTCCTTCACGATAGCCGAGCGGTCTAAGGCATGTACTTTCTTCGCTCGCTCAGAAGGCGGGATCGTAGGTTCGAATTCCACACAAGGTATGGATGTTTTGTGTATGTATGCATTTATTCTGTGTTTGTGTTGTCCTGTGTTTAGATAGATGCTTTGCGACGAGCTGATCACCCGTCTAGGGAGTTCTACCGACTGTGCAAATGATTATGAAACTGAGAAATGAGCCCTATGCTCCAAAGGTTGGAGGAAGAGGAGAGAGATTCCTTCATATTTGACTGCAAATTTGTAGATATAAAAATACATGTAATGGTTGAAATATAACGGTTAATATGGAAGTGAGCGAATAAGAAACGAGTGCCAGTACGTTAGTGTTGGTCCAAGATAAAGTTGGATTGCGCGAATGACGTAATATTTGCATTTATATATTCAATAAACCTATATAGCTTGTTCTTCGTTTAGTAAAAGGCTAATGTTGAAGTTTTGATTTTTATATCTTTTCAAAAATCGGCCAATATCTTTCGTTTTTGTTTCCATGTCAGTTACTTAACAAAGCGGTTGCATGTGAACTGCTATTCGCATCATTATACACAAATATAACCGTCTTCTGTCGCTAGTAGCTAATTGAATCACAGTGGTAACTATGCGTACCACCCGCTTTACCTTTCAAACTTTCTTCATTTTGCTTACTCCTTACTTTCGTCTGACATCGCAGCTGCAGGTACACGGTGCACTCAGATTAACTGCCTTTTCGGTTCTGATAAGTAGATGTAGACTTGAAGTGAAGGTCACAACTTCTATCTGCCTGTTTATTGTATCTATCTATGGCTCTATAGCCCTTTTGCGGACCAGCTCGTCGCAAGTCCACTACCTGCACACAGACATCAAGCCTCAAATTGGATTCGAACCCACGACCTCAGCGTTTGAACGGGCGAAGATGGTTCATGCCTACAATAGCACCATCACCGTAATAGGCTGACGGGCAGATAACCTCGCTAAGTAAGGCCTTTACCTTTGAGAACGCTGAACAAGGCAAGAGAACAGGAACGGACCCTTGCTAAGGGCTGGTAGGCCCAAGCCCAGCCAACATTTGACGCCTCAAGTTATAAACAGTGTTTCAGTGGTTTCTGATTTGCTTTCATTTAGTGTGACATGCATGAATGAACCGATTTTTAATTTCTTACGCTTTCATGGCCTAAAAAATTGTTTGTTACTTTTTTTTTTCAAAATTCACAGAGAAGATAACTAAATGAAAAGAAGTTCAAGAGGGGCCTTGCTTCTTTGTTCATTTCCATAGAAATTCCTTCTGCTTGCTTATGACGCTTTACAGACGTCACGCTTTCGGCCCAAAACCTATTCCTTTGCTGCTGACCAGTGGATGAGTGTCCTTGTAGAATTTCGTGTGTATTCGTGTCTGCCCCACTTAACTGAAGGTCCATCATTCTCAGTCCCACAGCAGGTTCGGCTACAGTGAGAGAAGATCCCATGGTTCTTGTTGTGTTACTCGTCTCTATGAGGTTAAACGAAATTCTATCACAGTGAATGAGTGTTTACGTGCATGTTTCGTGCTTGTTTGTTTATTTTACTGGCATATCTCTAATGTTCGAATCACACTAGGGACATGGATTTCTGTGTGCGTTTATTATCTGATTGTATTGGCCTGTGTGTAGGTAGCGGCCTTGAGACTGACTGATCCCCCATCCAAGGAGTCCTGCGATCTTCCTAAAAAGATCAAGAAACTGTAAAAGAGGCCAAGGCTCAAAGAAGGGCTGTATATATTTTTGTAATGTGAATAAATTTGAAATTTTGTTAGAAACCTTCTATAAAATTTCGGCTTTGTACATTATACCAAAAATGTTCTGTCCAACTGTCTGTCCTTGCAATCCGCATGCGTTAAAGCGCACAGGTGAGCCTAGTAGTTTCGGAATCCTCTCCCGACCCGAGAGGGCATCGCATTTGTACCAAGAGGAGTAAGATGTTCAGCGGCAGGTTACAGCGGGGCGTAGTCCTTTAGTTAAAAATTTTCTTGGCGCCACAGAATGAGCCTCGCGTTGCTAAAGTAAGAGGTCTTATGTAACATAAGAAGTAAACCCGTTAAAACGAGAGCATTTAAATAAGAAGACAAATTTGCCCTCTCATAAATGCTAACATGGGGGGAATGAAATTGAGATAGTCCTGACCTGTTCAGTCGGTCATGTGACGTCACTGGAAGTGACTAGAAATTCGGGACAGAAGAATAGGAAAAATTAATAAGAAGAACGATACAGTTTGTGGAAGATACGTGGAGAGCTGAAGGATAAAGGGCGGAATGGTGGAGAGAGTCGCGACCATGAAGCTGCACTAACGACAAAGATAGACGTGACAGAGAAGTCAGTGTAGTTCCAAACATGAGACCGCAAACGTATCAAAAATAAGAGTTGGTTGTTATGCTATAGAAACCTCTCAACATTGCGTTTTTTTTTTTCAAGAATTTTGTGAGTGTTCTGGAAAGGAAAGTGACAATATTTTGATGCATAATTCTCACATGCAGTCCTTTCTAAAATTAAATGGAGATTGAACTCGGGTAATGCTTGCTACCAATCAGTCCAGAACTTTTGCCTCCTCGTCTGTTGTCCAAAACCATAAAAATAAGAATATACAAAATTATAATTTTTCTTGCGTTTCTGTATGGGTGTGAAAATTGGGCTCTGACATTAAGGGAGGAACATAGACTGAGGGTGTTTGAGAACAGTGTATTGAGGAGAATATTTGGACCGGAAGATGGATGAAGTGACAGGAGGATGGTGAAAACTGCATAATGACGAGCTTCGTAACTTGTACTCTTCGCCAAGTATAACTAGAATGATCAAGTCAAGAAGGATGAGATGGGCAGGACATGAAGAACAAACGGGTTAGAATTTTAATGTATACAGGATATAGTTGGGAAGCCAGAGTGAAAGGGACCACTGGGAAGACAAACACGTAGGTTGGGGGACAATATCAAAATGGATCTTAGGATTGGATGGTATTGACTGGATTGATCTGGCTCAGGATAGGAAACCAACGGACCTTCGGATTGCATAAAATCCTGGGAATTTCTTGAGTAACTGTAAATTGGCAGTATCTCAAGACGGGCTCAGCTCCTTGAGTGAGTGAGTGAGTGAGTGAGTGAGTGAGTGAGTCTTTTCTGAATGATAATCATCTCCAGAAGTACCATGATGTAAAGCTGAACTCTGAAAACCTGTATTAAAATACTTAGACATGGGCGTTGTAACCGTACGCATCCTTCACGGAAAGTTTGTTTGTAAGTAACGATTAAGTTTAGCTGTAGGAATGAGATGCCCCGGAGGGATCAGGGTCCTCTGAATTGGCCTTTTGTTGCGAGGGACAGAAGGGAGGTTGGTGAGTCCATTGCATTCAAGGGGGAGTAGGTATACCTTCTTTCGTCCGTGCTTGTGGGGGTGGAGGACCTGTGGATCGAAGATTCGAGAAAATTCTAGAAGGTGTGCAGACCGGAAGGGGTCCGTGTATTTGGTCATGAAAACCTCCCAGTGGAAAGTTCGAGATGGTTAAGAACGTGGTTTCTGGAAGCAGCAGCGGGGGTCAGCGGTTAGTTAGTGAGTAGAAGCCGAGGAGGGAGTTAGTGGGTAGAGGCCAGGGAGTGAGGGTGTACATGTGGAACCTGTGCTAAGGTGTTAACCGATCGAGCCCGCATCCAAAAAAACGACGTAAGCGAGCCAACACCCGTGTACCCCTGGGATATAAGACTCATTCCGCTGAAATTAGTCGAGGCATACACCGCGTGAAGTGAAGCGTGTGGGGGGACGGGTGTAGCGTGAT